AAGTGAGCAGCACCTGGTATTGCTCTGTTTTTTGTGCATGGGAGAGGAGACAGGGAAAGACAGAAACAAGCCGTATTCAGAAGGCAATGAAGAATCTGTGCATACCCAAGGTCTCTTGCAGCTATGGAGTCACCCCGTGTTGTAGGCTGAGGGCCCAGAAGGTCTTTGAAAGAGAGAGGTGGTTTTTCAGAGAGCCTTTTGGAGTGCACAGGCTGTGTACTGGGACTTCCGCAATGGCAGGTCAGTAAGAGGCTAGTTCAGGAGCAAAGCGTCCTCCCTGCTGGCCAAACTTCCCAGGAATGTACCTGGGAATGGTGCTGTCCTGCCAAGAGAAACTGGTCACTGGGAGTCCAAAGTTTGCTCTCAGGATTTGCCAAGAAGCCCAAAGCCCTCTCAGGATTTGCTGGGAGTTGGCTGGATTAAACCCACAGGTACTTTATAACCACTGAAGTTACACATGGTGGAGGGCTGCAGCAGACTGCTATGGCAGCTCTAGTGCAAAGCCTATGAGATTTACTTGAGGAGCAGATAAGGCCATAAGTTACCTGTTCTCATAACCCTGACACCTTGAACATCACATTTGATGTCTGTGTTCTGCCCGTCCAGAATTCAGGGGAAAAGCCACAAAGCCAGAATGGGTGAGTGGATATGCAGTCCTCATGAGATGTGCTTTCATGGTCTATCTGTTCTTGTCTGTCTGTGTCTCATAAAAGGAACAGGCAGGTAAGTGATGGACATCGTCATCTTTACAAGCTTTATTTACATTTCACCAAATGAATTCAAAGATCAGGGAAAAAAATATGCAGCTTTTAAACTTCTGATGTACACTGAAGGCCAGGTGTATGTGGTAGATTTATTAATTAACTTCAATGGCAAAAACCCAAACAAAATGCACACAAAACCTCACAAACAATAAGTTGACAAAACTCTGCCTGGGAAAAAGCCAGCGCTCACGTATTTCATGAGACATGACACAAGACCTTCAGAAATTGCTGTCTGTCTCAGGAAGAGACAGGATTTTCTAAAGCTTAAGTAAGAAAGAGAGTCTGCAATTTGTCTTTCATTTTACTTTATTCAGTACAAATGGAGACAACAGAAGAGAATCTTGGTTAGCTGAAGTCAGTGAATCCAAACTGAATTACACAAACCGAAAGTCCAACACCTGGTTTTCTAATCCATAGAAGAAAAGGGATCTCTCAAAGCTGGTTGATCTGCCATCTGGCAGCTATTTCCTGTATTTGTCTCTAATACTGGGCTTATTTTTGCTGGCACATTTCCAGAGTCGAATAAAGGAATTTATGATGAATATTTTCACTTTTACCGATATTTTCACTGCAAGTCAGGAACTTTTAAACCGTACATTTTTAAAAAGCCTTTAAAGGTTTCCTTTCTTGCTTTAGTTTTGGTCAGCAAAAATTACAGACAAAAGGTTTTAGGTATTTTTTCTGAAAGTTGCTGATATTTTTAGATCAGTGGCAGGACTTTTGCTGCTCCTCTTGATGTCCCTGTAATCTGATTAGGCTTTGAGTCTCTTCCTGTTCCCTTCCACAATGTCCCACCTGATAGGTCTTCACTTGAAGATAAAGTCATTTGCTGCTAGCAAAACTGTGAGTAATAATGAGTGAGAATACTGGGAAAGAGCTTAACCATCCCTTCCTCCTAACTTCGGGACGGTTCTCAAGTATTTAGTAAAAATTCTGCTCCTTTTTTCTTTGTTCTTCCCTTCCTCTTGTAATTTTCTTTTTTGTTGTTGTTGTTTGGTGTTCTGTTAAGTGAATTAATTTTCTGAAGTAGTTGGTTTCCATGTGATGATGGCAATAGAACTTAATGCTTACTGCTTTTCTGTGTTTCAGGAGGTGATTGTGAAAGCCTGGAGGCTGAGGCTGGATAGAGGGACTCATGTCAGTGACTGGAGAGTCCTTGCTGGAGAATGCCCTGCACTTGGGTGCCTCCCTATCTTGATGCGCAAGGCTTAGTCTTCTCACTGCAGCTCTAGGGCAGAGTCTTTGTACAGCTGATGCAGCCTCAGTTCTGGTCGGGACCTACTGTGCTGCTTCATCAGAAGTAGTTGGCTAAGAGTTGGAGAGAGAAAAGTTGAAAGAAGAAGAAAAGTTAGGATGACAGTCTGATCCGTTTGTGTTGGTGTACACCTCAGCATATGCTGAGGTGAAGGTCTGCGGCAATGTCATGTCTAAAGAGGGGACAGCGGCTGTCTGTTATGCGAAATGTCCTGAGACGTTATTGTGAGGCTTGCTTGGCTGTAGAGAATTGCTTCCCTCCTTCACTTCTTCCAATTACTATTTCCTAAAAAAGACACGAAAGGCAAATTTTGGAGGTGAATAACCAGGCTTTTGTGTATGTAACTAGTGTAATTTACTGACCAGGGAAACAGCAGGCCACATAGTAGACAGAAAAAGAGCTGAGCAGTGGCTGCTGTAAGCTGAATAGTAAAGTATAGCAAGTGCTTTGCGGGTTACCGGGGGTGTTAGCATGAGTATGAGACCTGCTGTGGCACCAGATATAGGCTTTTGACCTTGGAAATGAGACAAGGACCTCAAGCCACAGGTTATTCACCCTGAAGTAGGGAGAACACCTGTGCAATGTATCTTGTTTCTTCCTGAATACTTTAATACCACATTTCCTCAATGTCTGTTTTTTGGTTTCCATAGCTCATACTACAGAAGGCCTGAATACAACCTACCAGGAGCATATATTTGAAGCTTGTAAGGTAAGTAAGTTAACAAACTCACTTGCCTGCCTCTAAGAGCATCACCCAAGTGGGTCTATAATTACACTGATGCTTGCCCTGCCTTTTCTGGGTGTGCCTTGGTATTGGAGCAGTGAGCACTGGGAAGTCACTGTCCAGCCATGAGCTGTTGACAGGGAAGGAAGGTGACTTTGTCAAGGTCACTGAGTCAGCTTATGGCTGTACTTCTCTCACCCATTTGTCTTTTAAATCACTGATGAGCAAGTTTTTCATAGCACCAAGATTCCTCGACTTCACTCTGTCCTGTGAATAGCTGAAAATTGTGCTTGCAGAGTGAAGGCAATGGGCACAATTTCCAGATTTTGTTTGCACAGTGGTGCTTATCTGTGTGACAGCTGCCTGGGCCCTCAGCAGAACATTTGCTTTTCTTGCGAATTCACACCTCCTTCCCCCATCCCTTGCTTTTGCTTGTACAGAGCAATCAAATAAAAAAAGATCTTATGCAGTTGACAAAAAAATCAAGTATTTGTTCACAAAACATTTGAAAAGTCTTCCTTCAGGGTGTCTGCTCAGGGCTTGTTAATTAGGGGAGTAATGATGATTTCAGAGCCAACCCCCAATCTATTCATAAATTGTGTTGCAATTCCAGTATGGAAAAGAAGATCCATTTTGCCCCAGTGCTTGCTCATTATTTCACTCACAAAGATATTCCATTTGTTTCAACGCTGATGTTGCAAAACAATACCCTTTAAGCTAATTGCTGTTGGAAAGGAAAGGCTCACTTTACAGTCAATGGTTTTGATGCTTTGGGTAGTTCAAGTCAGAATCTGCCTCTGTCTTGCCTTGATTGACAGGACGCTTTCTATATATTTAAGCAATTAAGCAACCCAGTAGCAACCACTGGGGAGATCTACTGAGCACAAAACTGATTAAGATTGTTGTGTAGGTCTCCTGCTGCTCACTCTGACTTCCTGAAACACCATCTGCAATTTGAAGCTGCAAAAGGAGATCTGACTCCAGCAAGTTAGGTGAGTGTGCTTCTGTGTTTGCTCCATGTCATGGCTCTGGCTCGTGAATAAAGAAGCAGGTTTTGCTAAAGTGGCAAAGAATAAATATTCAATTTGTTCTGAAGTTTGCCTTTTCTGGTTGCAGATGTCTGCTTTTAAAAATAAGGAACATTCACCTTTTTTTGCCCTGTTGAAGCTTAAGTATAAGCAGACTGTCTTTTAATCACGTACAAGACTATAGTGTATGCATGGCAGCATATATTGAAGCAAAATTCATGTGCTAATCTAAAACTATATTTGGCAAATTTAAAGGATTTGGTTTAACAGAAGTCTGGGGACTCAAACATCAGTCAGGTGAAAGGCAAGACAAACTCATTCAACTTAAGTCTGTCCATCTGAGGATACAGGCCAATGCACACAAGTCTGTGTGCCTCATGCAGTAGCTGACTTTCTCAAAATTAAATGTCAAGTCTGGGATTCTAGGTGGACATTTTTAAATGCAGTGCAATTATGTGAAGCACAAAATGGATCTTGTGGCTTAGAGATACTTTCCAGCTCTTTTTGTTTTCTGACAGAGGAAGTTTTCCAAAGGGACTGGTTACATTCTGCACTGAGACAGAAAGGCAGCAGGTATCAGAGGGACTTGGCTGATACTGGGCTCAGAGAGTGTGAGGAGTTTAAGCCTTGGTCCCTTGTCCCTGTGCTCCCTTGTCTAAAGAGTTCCATTCACCAGTTTAGCAGCCTTGCTTGGGTCTGAGCTGGCTGGTAGGAAAGTGTGTACAGGAAGGACTCCCAGGCTCTCTGACTGCAGTCCTGGGAGTGGACCAGCACCAGTCCAGTGCTCAGGGTATTGGTAATGGCAACTCCAGTAACACTTTTGGGAGGTGCTAAGATTATAGCACAAGTTCAGGGATGTTTGGCTCCTAACTTAGGCTAAAAGGTGAGTGGGATAAATCCAGAATTAAGTGCCTGAGTCAAAATGCTAGTGCTACATGCATACTGAACCTTAATGAATGCATGATGCTGCAGCTGTGCTGCCTTCCCCCTGTGCAGCAAAGCAGGGAACCTGTCACCTCCCATAGGTGTGCCTGACAGACGGACAGAGCCCTTCCAGACTGACCTGCCAGGGCCACTACTGTCAGGGACTTCAGCCAACAATGTGTGTGTGCACTGAGAGAGAAGCCAAACGCCTACCTGCCTAGTGCAAGCTCAGGGCAACCCAGGTGGGATGGTAGGAAAGGTTATCTGCAAAGTGAACTTGCAATATAGAGATTTCTGTGGGCACCGGGTGGTGGCTTTTTCACTTCCAGGCAAAACCCACTGCTCTGCAGGGAAAGTCTGCAAGCTGATGTATTCTCTTACAGACATTTTCACTAAGACTTTCCACTTTTGGGTGAAGTGGTAGGTGGCCCCTTGTTCTTACATCTGTCCATCCTCTCTTGGGCAGAATGAGGATGGGCAATAGCATGTCTGAGGGGAGGAAGGGCAGCCCCAGCTTGAGCTGAGCCTGTACATTTGTACTTGAACTGTGCTGGCTCTTCCACCCCTCTGATTCTCTCCCTTCTGCCTCAGCATGAAGCTCCACCACCAGATCCTGGGCGCTGTGCTTCTCCTGCTGCTGGCTGGCTGTGGTGGCGTGCTCCAGACCTCTGCCATCGACCTGCGGACCTTCATTGGCTGTGCTGTGCGCGAGTTCACTTTCCTGGCCAAGAAACCTGGCTGCAGGGGGCTTCGGGTGACAACGGATGCGTGCTGGGGACGCTGCGAGACCTGGGAGGTGAGGTTGTGCCGGCGCTGAGGGGGGCTGGCTGGCACCAACATCCCTGGGTACTGTGCTTCCCCATAGGTGATATATAGTACAGGTGCTTCCCCACCTAAGAAAAGAAACCCACCCAACATTAAGCAGCTTGCAGCTATATACTAAACAGGCAAACTCGTCCCACTCCACAACCACCTCGCTACCACTGCCAGCAGTGTTTGCTGTCAGTTGTTCCCTCCCTCCTTCCACTGCCTCAAGGGGGCATGTGATGATATTAATGAAGCAGTTACGTAATACTCTCATTATGCAATTTGAAAGCCTCTTGCAGCTTCAACACTTACGGAGAGAAGGTCTTTGTTACTTTACTGGAAGAAATTCCTTTGAGATGAAGATGGAGCTCCCAATTGATGGGTAATAGATTTTGTTCCAAAAAACAAATCGCAAAGATAATGTCTGCTTCTAATTCAGTCCCGTTTTAAATCACAGCCCTGTATAAATATGAAGTGGTTATGTTTTGGGAGCATACGGGGGAAGGGGGGGGGGGGGGGAGAAAAAAGCATAAGTTCCTCTACACATACTTCAGAGAACAAGTTTCTGACGGTCTTTGCCTTTCTGCCACTGGAATGCTCAAGGGGCCAGTCCCCATTTAATTTGTTCAGGTAACTCTTGAGTGACTCCAGAGGGATTTCATCCACATGAAGACAAGGACCCTGTAAGTGACCACAGGAGGATACATGGTCTTATGCCAGCTCTAACTGCCCTTTTTCACTGCCTGCTAGGGTAAGGGGAAAGGCCAGCAGTGGCTAGATTTCCCTGATGGGGTAAGGTTCCTTCAAGGGACTTCTCATCACCTTGTTCCCCCTACTCTGAAGCTCCTCTGGCAGCACAGACATTGCAGACTTTCTTAGTGTACTTCAACACCGCTGGCATTTAGTTAAGCTGAACACATCCAGTTGTAGGCTCAACAGCTTCTAGAAAGCACCATGATGTATGTGGAGGGGGGTGTTGGGAAGAGGGATACTGTTTGGATATCTTCTCGCTGAGATGTTGCATTTGTTCTTTTCCATGCTATCATTCTTGGTTCCCAGGGCAGGCTCTTTACACAGCACAGGGTGGAAGAAAGAATAAATTTAAATGTCTCCTGGTTGTGTTACCTTATGCTGTGTCCCATCTCACAAGTCAGTGGACTCCCACTCCTGTGTGTTCTGCCTCTTCTTGGAGACTTTGGAAAATGGGTGCCCCTGTCAAGGAAAAACTCACTTTTCAGAAAAATCAATGCCACTGTGGTACCACTTGGCAATGGGGGCTTCAGGACTTTCAGGCTCCCATTTTCTCTTGATGTCTGAGGTCTCTGGCCAAGCTGTTTTTCTCATGAGGAACTGCAGACTTCCAGGCTGGCTGATGTGCCAGGTTCATCCCCCATGGTGTACTTCCATCGGGTGTCATGGGATGCACAGCCTGACTGGGAAGATAGGTCTGTCTGAGAAAAAAACAGCCATTTGGCACTTGGATGCATCTCTGCTCTTAGGCAGCTTGTGCACAGGGAAGGGTTTCCAGCAGAATGCATTTTCTTTGATGGACAATCAATCCTTTTGGAAAAAAGTAACTGCTTTTGGCAAACATGAGCATTTGGTTGAAACACTAATATTCTCCTGAAAGCCAGCTTTTTGGGTAGGCTTTTGTCTTCCTTCAAGCAGCTTTAATTGGAGCTTTATGTTTTAAACAAAGAGAAACATGCACATACACCCACTTTCCTCCATGGCAGGGCTCCAAGAAGCAAGTCTTGAAAGATGTAGCCTAAAACTTATTTACATGGTCCCTTCCACCTGATCCAGTGGCTCCCCTATTTACACTAAATCCCCCTGGGGAAACTGGAACGCCAGATGTTTGTCTGAGGCCAGTATTCCTCCCTCACAGAAACCGGTGCTGGAACCACCTTACATTGAGTCTTACCACCGTGTCTGCACCTACAATGAGACAAAGATGATGACAGTGAAGCTGCCCAAGTGTGCTCCTGATGTGGATCCCTTCTACACCTACCCTGTGGCCGTCCGCTGCGACTGCGACATCTGCTCCACTGCCACCACTGAATGTGAAACTGCCTGAGCTCTCCTTTCCTATGTCAAGTGAGGAGAGGCCAGCTTCTTCTCTGGCTTCTTCTCCCTGGTACCTCCAGCATTACAGAGGGTGTAACTATGACAGTCAAGGATTCGATGATACCCTTTAATGCTCTTAACGGTTAACTTTTCTGGGCAGATGAGGCTTAACCCCACTCCTCATGCTGTTCAAAGCATTACTGCTGTAGAAATGTAGTGCACAGCCTTATAATAGCAAATCCTGTGGTAAAAAATGGGGGGGGAGAAAAAAAAAAAGGTGCCGTTTCCCTTCCTTAGAGGCTTTTCACATTGTGTGACCTTTCTCCATGCACAAAGCGCACATGGACCTAACAGTCACTAGGGGAGGGGGGGGAAGCAGACCACAGAGGCATCACCACCTCTGTAACAGCTTCTTTATTCATGTCAGGTTTTAGTTCCTTCCCAGTAATGTAGATGCAATTACTAATATCTCCACCACCTCACCCCCGCCATTAGTTTTTCTTACCCTGAGGTCTATCAGGAGTAGCAGCCAAAGACAGAGCCTTAAGGCCAATGAAATGGAAATGGATACCCAAATTGCTACCTTGAAATTAGTGTGAATGCATACTCAGCCCTGATTTAACAGAGCACTTAAGCTCATGTTTAAGTGTTTTGCTTAATATCAATGGACTTTTACAGTTAAGCACATATTTCAGTGATTTGCTTAATTGGAGCTATATTGTTGAAAAAAAAAATTGCCTTACAAAAGTCAAATCCTTGGAAAAAACCCCAACACATTAAATCTGCAGAACCAAAAGCATGTATCTTCCCACCTGCTTTTGTCCAGGGACAGAAGGAAACTGACTCCACGTAGAATCAGCGAGACTCTGCAGAGCCCAAGGAGTCTTTCCTGACAGTTTCCAGAGTCAGAGGGACCAAGACAAAATATGATGATTGTGGTTTGGGTTCAACGAGCCAGCCCCTGGCTGAGCTGGTGGGAAAGGGGGCTGTGAAGAGTGGTCCCACACTTCCCTGTGCTGCTCAGCTCCATGGAGACCTGCTCCTCTGTGGGTGCACACAGAGCTTGTGAGCAGTCAGATGTGCTCACAGGAAAGCTGTGGAATGGTCAGTAATGTGGCCAGGGTGGGTGAGACAAGCCCAGTTAGGAAAGAGAGCAAACATGCCAAAAGATGGTTCACACCTTCTCAGACCATTTACAGACTAGGGGACACCTGGGAGCTGCTGCAATAGCCCTGTGGTCACCACAGCTACGTAAGTGCCTTTGTGCTCCGGTTTCCACCTGCAGGAGGACAGATCCATGTTCATCCCTCATCCTCCCCTGAATAAAATGGGAAATTATGTGAAAGGAGGAAGAGTTGCCAAGTGGGAGAGGTTCCCAGGAGATTACAAAACAAAGACACCTTCTCAGATAGCCATTAGGAGAGAACTGTTGCTGAGACTAATGTCTGCACCTGCCTTCCCTCAATTAAGTGTCTTGTCTTCTAGATGCAGTCACATTCATTTCCAGGGTTTCATGCTGGAAACTCCCCCAAGTGTTCTGTCCTCATTGAGACAGATTTAATTTAATCTCTAATTGATTAGTTGCTGACATTTTTTTTGCCTGTGGAGCTGTAAAAGCTGCACTACAGTTGAGTAGTGTTGTGGTTTAAACTAAGTCAGCCATAAATCACACAGTCACGCTCTCACTTTCCCCCCTTTTTGCCCTCCCCCTGCTCCCAGAGGAATGGGAAGGAGAATCAAAAGAATGCAACTCCCATGGGTTGAGATAAGAACAGTTTAGTAACTAAGGTATAACACAAACCACTGCTGCTACCACTAATAATAATGATGATAAAGGAAATAACAAGGGAAGAGAATACAACCGCTCACCACTGCGGCGCTATCAGCACCGTTCCCAGGCCGAAAGTCAAAAACACAGCACTACACCAGCTACCAAGAAGGAGAAAAATGACTGCTACTGCTGAACCCAGGACAAGTAGGAAAGAGGTGACTTTATCACTCTGCCTTCTCTAATTCTGATTAGAGTACTGTGTCAAACAGCAGCAGCACTAGTTTTCTGCTGATGGATTTAACTGCCCTTTAAGACGTTCTTGTGTTCTGTTTCAAATCGCACCTCATGATCCTTCTGATCTTGTTACTCTTCTAACTGGTATCACAACTATTATGGGAGACCTACCAAATATTTTTTGTCCTTTGTAAACCTCAACATTGTAGTATGAAAGCAATTTAAAGCAAATTGATATTTATTTATGTGTAAAGATTTCTCACATAGAATATGTATAAGCTCCTACAAACTCTTTGCCAGAGCCGTGAACACCTGCAAAACATCTCCTCAATGTTGATATGAAGTCATTTCCTTCACTGGACTTCTCTCATGGAGTCTGGATGTGATAGCATCAGGATTAGAAGTAGGGTTAGAAAGTGGCAAACTTCTTTCCTTTGCAGCCAATAGGAAATACGGGCTCTACCCAGATATGGTGAGACAGTGGGAACCTCAGCAAGTGCTCAGAAGAAAACTCTGCAGAGTGTGAAAGAGGGTTTTGACTGATGCAGTAGCAGCTAAACTGGAGGGTGGAAGGGTGGGAAGGATGTATTGACTGAAACCATGCTAACAGTTCTGGATGGTCTTTTAAGGAGGAAAGCAAAAGTGAATGGAGATGCTGTGGATTTGCTGTGGGTGACAAAAGTACAGCCAATGCCAGAGCCCACTAGGTTATTTGACTGGTGCATATCCCATTTCATCCAGATATGCTGGATTCCCACAAGTGACTTTCAAAGAGCCAGCACCATTCCTGCTGCTTGTGTGTCCAAACCAGGGGCCTTTTTTCCAGAATTTATTACACTACTAAGTCTTCATTCTGTTCAATTCCCACCAGTTTTAATACTTGCAACAAGGCCTTTTAGCTTTCACACCCTTTTTGCTGCAGCTGGAATGGCATGTTCTGCTCAAAATTTACAGACAGTCAACATAGCCCACACATTTCAAAGCATGAGAATGCCCTTTCCAGGCAACCTTCATCTCCTTGGGGGCTCCCTGGGGGGCTTTTAATGCTCTTTAAAGCCACAGATTTAAATCTCAACATCCTCCCTGTCCAAAGCAATTAAACAGCCCTCAAACAGCTGTCTCTGGTGGATGAATTTGCAAGGGGTGTTTGCTATAGAGACTGCCACGTCTCAGATATTTTGTCTCCCGTGAAAGCCCTTACTGTGCTTTTGTAGCACTTTGGTTGTCCCCTTCACCAGGACACTGCCCACTAGCACCAAACAAAAATCCTCACATACTGCAATGTGGAGCTCTTAAAAGTGTCATTTGCTACTGCACAGTTAATCTGGCATGAACTGAACTATGTAAAAGTAAGGGAAGGAAATTTTGCTCTACATGTATAAGGTGAACTTGACTTGCCTGGGAGAATTGTATCTTGCAAAGCAACGAGTGAGAGAGAATCTCCTATGCAAAGGCTCAGTATTGAACCATTCACAGCTCTGCAGCCCCGTCTTGGAATGCCTGCTGCAGTGAAAAGTTTTGTGTAAGGGAGATGGCTTTATCTGCCTGCTCAGGAAGGAGAAGGTGGATATACGAAGGCATGACTGTGCAGCTTAGGGACTGCACTTGGCTCTTGGCTCTGCCATAAGCATCCCAGGTGAATAGGGAGAAATCGGTGGATTTTTTTGTGCCTCGGTTTCCCTTCTGGTCAGTGGGATTGATAATAAAGCTATTATTTTCCTCCTGGTGTGTTTTGGAATGTGTAGATTGTCAGGTTGCTTGTAATGAGTCATATCTGTATCCTGCACAGCACTCAGTTTCTCAGGCTTGTTGTCACTCTTTTAACTTGAGCATCAATAGTCACAGTCATGAAGTGCTTTGATTTTTCACAACGCTTTCCTGTTACATGATGGTTACAAAAGTTCCCTGGGTCTTACAGTTCAGCTCCCCTCATTCCTGTGCTGCAGTTAGTGTGCCCAGCCAGACTGACCACGTCAGAAATCAGGATATTTCACCCTGTCTTCAAACCTGAGTGACAATAAGAGGAAGGGTAGGGTGCTTCCCTTGTTTCACCCTGGACACATTTCTTGCACTGACTGTTTTCTGGGGGATGAGACAAGCAGCTCTGTCCTGCTGTCACTGTATTCACATGCAAACATAGGACCTGCTGCCCTGGGTTGGAGAAAAGGGCTGTCTCACCCAATATCCTGCTGCTGACAGTAGCCAGCAGTGGACCCTCAGGGAAATGTGAAAGCATCAGGGATGCTCCTTCCCTGGCTATATCCACCCAGCTTTAGCAGGCAGCAGTTTAGGAAGTTTTTGCTCTGGCAGATGTATTCAGCATCTTGTTGTTGATCCCAGATATAGTTTCTCCATGCTACTGCTTCCCAGAGAAAGTCTAGTTGTGGAAAGTCTGGTTATTAGTACCAGAGCTTTCTCCAGGGCAGATAAATGTTGTGTGCCCTCTTGAATTGTCCTGGCTCCTTTGGGAACATACCTATTTATAGCATCCAGGTATTCATGCTGCAGTGCCTTCTTATTAGAAACAGAACTTGCTACCTTTGTTCTGCAAGTGAGTGCCCCAAGCAGAGGCTGGTTAAGCTTGCTGAGGTTTGCAGACTGCAGGAACACGAAAAAGCCTTTCTCTAGTCAAACTTACTTCTTTAGCCCAATCGTTATTAGGGATGCTGTTCAGGAATGGTGGGATTTATAGTCTTAATTTGAAGACCAGGCCAGTTGGTCAATGGGATTGCTTCTGGTCTTGAAGGCTTTTCTTTGCTTAAAGAAAAGCAAAGAAACTGATTTTTTTTTAATTAAAATTTTTATTTTAGACAAAATCCACATTGCTGCACCGAATCCCTGGAAGTCTAGAGCCAGTCGTATTCTTGATTCCAGTCCAGCATTTAAGGGCTGTCTTTCCTTATGTAACTTCTTCAGCCCTTTCAGCATTTCACTTTCTCTCCTGATTCACCCTGCCCTGTGTGCTGAACAAAAGGCTACACAGCTCCTCATCTTCCTTACTATCAGTAAGGGTTTATCAAAGAATTTTGTAATCTGTGTGTTAGGTTTGTCAGGGCGTAAAGAACTGCCCTCAAAATTCCTAGTGGAAAATTCCCAAAAGGAACATGCCCGAGACAAGCAAACCTCATCAGTGTCATCTCCTCTTTGACTTTCTGCAGGGGACACTGGAAGGTTCAGGTGGTTTCAGAACTATCAAAAAGCAGCCCTATATGTCAGTACACGTTTTTCCTATCTGAATTGTCCTGCAGGTTGTATGTGGTTAACATCTGGGAAAATAAACAGAGCACCACACATTCTCTAAATGATGCTGTCAAAATATTTTGTAATACATTTATTTTGTTAAAATAAAACTATGTACAATAGATGATATTAATGTGCAGTTACAATATACAATAATTACATGTTTAAAAGAGGATAAGCAAAAGAGTACAGAATCATGTGTTGTAAATAGGAAACTAATAGTGTTTACATGCTTTTTAAACTAGGAAAAATGTAATTGCTGGAAAAAACAGTTTCCTTGATTTGAAATCTTATTGCTTTGACATGAATTCTGATGTTTTCATGAATCTTAGAAAAAAAGATATATCATTCAAAAGTAAAACATAATGTTATAGTACTCATCTTTTGGTTTTACCAGTCCCATACTCCAGCAATATTGCAAACAATAACTTTTAAGAGAGAAAAATTCAGTTGGTCACATCAAATAAATGACTCTTTTTCTTATCTTGCTAAAAGCTGACTGATGATGTGTTATGTCCTGATTTGTTCTGAGGTCATTACATCTGCTTCAATTAGAATAACTTTTTGCACTGTTACTTTTAAGTATTGCTGAAGTACTACACAAAAAGGAAGGAAAGAAATTTTCTTGTCTTTGTCTTTGCAGGAGAGCAGAGAATCTCTTTGCAGTGAAACACTCGTATGTGACAAGTGCATTGATATCATAACAGGTTAAACTGAATTCAGTTAATCTTGCACTCGAGGACAGTTCAGGTCCATCTCCCTGCTCCTCTGCAGCCTTCTTTGACACCCTCCCAGTCTCAAGGTGCTGCTGTGCCTCAGGTATCCCAGTGTGACTCCACAGAGGCTTTTGCCAGGCTTGCACCATACATGCTGGGGCAGCATGGACACCATGCTATCCCTTGCTCTGCAGCATTTCCCACCTGGCAATCTGGGCTCACCACCTTGCACTTCTGCTCATGGGTGAAGAAGACTGCCAATGTCATTTCCCTCTCACATTGCCTAATGTTATTGTTTATTAATGATTTAATATTTACAAGCTTGAGGAAAGTTTGTGCTCATTTACTCCACACTGACAAGGCAGTTCAGTGCCTGCCAGTTCTGTGATACAGGTAGAACAGCTGCCTGTTTTGGGGAAAAGTGTTGGGAAAGATGGTATGACAGTCATGTTATGGATATGGCTTACACCCAAACTACTTTGACAGATATCAGACAAAAACTTCTATGTGTTATCAGTACAAATAACTGCTTTGTTGAAAGATCTGGAAACTGTAGGCTGGTGACAACTGTTTATTCCAAACTCATTAACCTCCGATCAAAGTCAGAATTCAGAAGAGTTGGT